AAACCAAGACATCCTAATAGGCCACTACAAGTCATTGCCAGCCGTGGTTTGGTGTAAGAGGCTTACTGATAACGACAGCTCGAGAAGTGATGCCTTTCATAAGATCAATATCAGCACATATAAGATAGTCTAACAGTGGCCCAAACGGGCTATTGTGCGTGGGTTGCAAGATTCAGATGCATGCATTCCTACATTGGAACGGTACCTTATGCTAGCAATGGCATCAAATGATCACACTGAAGTCATTTTCCAGCATGATATCCCTTATTTCGCTACCCGTGTCTCACAAAATGCTGATTATTATTTCGCGGCATCAAAGCAGTGGTGTGGTCTGCTTGAAGTTCAGATTTGATACCAAGAGAAAAGGCTTGGGCTATTCTTACCCAAAATGTGCACCAACATTATACAGTTTACATCGCAGAACATGAATTTACAACATTGTTTATGATGGAGTGTAATAATACAAACACGGACATGATTCTGAATCTTACACAAACTACTCAAGTGGCCCAGGTAGCCAGGGCACCTGTCTAGACCGATCTCCAACAGTGACCCAAACCGATAACCCCATGGTCACGAGTTCACATTAGTTTTGCCGGATCACTCAATGGGCACCATTTCCTCGTTGTGATTGACGCTTACACAAAATGGCCAGAAATATTTCTAATGGAACGTGCAACCACCGGAGCCACCACCAATGTCTTTCGTAGCCTGTTCTGCAGGTTTGGATCTACAAAGACGCTGGTGGGTGACAATGGCGGTCAATTCACATCGTCTGTTTTCTCTGCGTTCTGTGAACAATCTGGCATAAAGCACGTCCGTGCGCCACCTTACCACCTACAGTCATACGGTCAAGCCGAACGCTTCGTGGACACCTTCAAGCGAGCACTTCAGAAATCCAAAGGAGAGGGGACCACAAGAAAAGTCACGGAAAATCATCTACTAAACATCAGAGCCACACCAAATCCTAATGTCTCGAACGGTGCGTCTCCGGCCGAGACGATGTTTTAAAAGGAAAATCGTCACACCATTAGACGTAGTCCTCCCGGAGCGACACAGCAACACACCCTTGGAAATCACCTGCTCAACAGCAATAGAGCTACAGTTTAACCGACGCCATGACAGGCGGGACTGATCGTTAGTGAGGATCAGAAAGTTTTGGCGAAGGACTACCGGAATAACAGAAAGTTGGACACTTGGTCGAGTATATTGACGCCGGGGGAAAATAATCTACGAAATCTTAGTCGGCTCTGAAGTGTGGGTGCGGTACGCCAACCAACTAAAACCGACCATCTGCAACAGTGAACTGAACCCCGGATCAGAATTGTCGTTGGACGTACGGATGAACATGTTTGCCATGCCAGTCCACAACCTTGAGTCACCAAAACCAGCAACCTCAACGAAGATAGAATAATCCCCGCAACCTCGACGACGGACACGCCTACTACAATAGTACCGTTCCAAATGAACCCCACCTTAAGATCCTACAACAAGCCGTCGAGCTCAAGAGGGAGAAGTGTTAGGATGGGGCTTAAACAACCCGTCAGATCACGCACGCATCCGAGTCAGGTTACGCTCGTTCGAAATGCTCCAGGCAAGCTGAGTCTGGATTGGGTGACCGCGGAACGAGTCAACCAGTGTTTGTCCGATCAGTCAATCGATATATCCAAGACGCAACCTGGTTGATACGTCACTGCACCGTTCTCATATGCGTGGTTCATTCTATATATTCGCTTATCGACTGTAATCCAAGGAATACACGCTGACTGTTATCTCCAATCATGTTCTCTCCGCGTTGTTGTTGGTGATTAAGCAAGAGTCACTCGTGTCATTCGTACATC